TCTTCTTCTTCTTCTTCTTCTTCTTCTTCTTCTTCTTCTTCTTCTTCTTCTTCTTCTTCTTCTTCTTCTTCTTCTTCCTCAATTGACATTTCTGTCTCTAGTGTGAAGGCTGATCTTCGCTGTAGATCCTCCAAGCTCCTGCAGAGCTGTGCGTCCCTCCGCCTAGGGTCAAGCCAATATAATTTCCTTCATAGTGCCTCAGGCACTGGGCAGGCTTGTAGCAAAATAATGGTTTCCGGTTCGCTGCCGGTTCTGCATTGACAGTACTCTGAGTTGCGCTATTTATTTTGAAAGACGCTTTCTGTGTCTAAATCTACGTGTCTTGTAAGACAACGAAGCAAAATACCATCTTGAAACAAAGGACAAGACGAGTTTAGACAAGCCAGACTTAGGTGAAAAGATGTAAATACATGTACAATTTGCACTTCTTATCTTTTGTTTGCAAAACAGTATACTGTAGTTGGCGTTCCAGTTATTGTCGATATATTGTTGTTCCCAATTTTCTTGATGATCAAGTGCTTGCTTTTTGGAGAACAATAGCCATGTGTCGTTTTAACCAACTATCCTTTTTATCAGTCTATTTTGCTCCCACTAGCACTGAATCATGACTGTAATTGATTTTGTCAATGTGTTTCATTTATCAGGCAAATGCAAACAAACAGAAAAATTGTGATAATGGCGCTTTTGTTCAACTCGCTGAAAAGGATGGCTGAGCTGATAAGGACAACCGCTGAATCAGTGTAATATGATAATAGTATGATAACGTTATTGACAGTGCTACTGGTGGAAAAGGGATTCCTTAATACATTTAATAGTGTCAGTGATGTATCAATGAAAGTAGTGGCAGTAGCACTTAGGATAGAGGTGTTACTGTATGCCTGTGTGTATGTGTGTGTATGTGTGTGTATAAATGTGTGTATGCTTTTGTATGTTGTGTATGTGTTTATGTATGCGCGTTTGTGTGTATACATGTATGTCAACCCTAACACACACACACACACACACACACACACACACACACACACACACACACACACACAAGCACACACATATACACACAGATACACATACACACACAAACACATGGGCCTAGATCTACTTAAATATATACACACACGTACACATATGTAAATATATATTTTTTCTTTTGTTGAAGCATCATATACTTTTAGTAGATCTAATCATTGTTACTATTCTAAATGGTTCTTTGCCCACTATGCAGGCCTTCAAGTATGTGTACGACAACCATTTCAACGACGCTGATTGGTTTATGAAAGCAGACGACGACACCTACGTCATCCTGGAAAATTTACGTTACTTTCTGTCAGGAGAAGACTCATCCAAACCGGTCTATTTCGGCCACCGTTTCAAGGTCATTGTGCAGCAAGGCTATGCGAGCGGTGGGGGCGGCTATGTGTTAAGTAAGGAAGCTCTACGTCGCTTCGGGACAACGGGATACAACAGCGAACACTGCGCCATGGATAAAGGCGCAGAGGACGTGCAGATGGGGAAGTGCTTGCAGAACTTGAAAGTGTCGCTGGAGGGCTCTTTGGACGTCATGGGGCGCAGTCGATTTCACTGCCTGCCCCCGGAACCTTTCCTGACCGGCACCTACCCAAACTGGTTACATAAATATGATTTTGAGGGATTGAAACAGGTGAGTAGTTTCACTTTTTATTTCAAACTAGAAGAAAAAACAAACAAACAAACAAACAAACAAGTAAAAACAAACCAATACACAAACACAAACACAAAAACTCACCAACAAACGCTTAAAAACCCAAACAAAAGACACCCAAAACATGCCGGAAATCAGTGAATGAAAGGTGAATAGACCCTCTGAAACATAGCTGAATACCTAATATATTACTAACAGAACAAATAGAACAAATGGATAGATAGATAGATAAGACAGATGGATGGATGGATGGATGGATGGATGGATGGATGGAT